GTTGGGGGAAGTTGGAAGAAATCACCGCCGTATATTGCTCACTTGATCGAGGAAACAAAAAGTTAATGAGGATGAAGCAAAAGATGACTCCATTCAAAAATATGTGAAAACAAGTGTTGTCGAGTTCAACAGAATACAGTCATCTTTTAACGTATACACCGACTGCGCAACTCTCTTTTGTTGGACACAGACTCATCATCATTCTTAACACTTGCACTCGTAAAATGTTAAACTTAACCAAAAATATATCGCTAGTCATTCTACTGATTCCAATTGACAAATAGTCAGTTAGTCTTTGCTGCACTTTGCTTTGTTACAAATGCTAGGGACGACGTTCTCTCCTGCATTTGGGTTTTGGGCTTCCTGGGACCCGCCTAACCATACCCACAGCCTCAACTTGACCCACATTTGGTCGCGTTAAATGAGACGTTCCGTTTCACCACTTTTACCTCTTTGAATGGAAGGAAAACACAAATGGAAGAAATGGAAGGTTGTTAGCAGGGAATGGTGGCTCATCAACCAGCAGAGTATGCTTACAACAGCATAAACAATTTGAAAAGGGAGCTTTCAGCCGTGGGTATGTTAAGAGCAGCCAAGAAAAAGACCCAAAAGTCTGTCTTTATCGCAAGTCCAACCCTTCAACGGAGGTTACAGGGAGATCACTATCCCTTTCCCATTACACCAAATTCCTTTTCCTTTTTTTTTTTGGCCATACGTCTGAGATCATTGGGGCAGAGAGAAACTTGCTTGCTGTGAGAAATGCTTTACCACAAGGAGGCGACAACAAATTACCTTTGGTAACTGCTCCATTTTGGTCCATTTTTCAATTAGTTTCCACGCCAAATTTGGGAAAGAATTTACTTTGCATGTCTACCATCTCCACACAGAGCATGTAACGGGAATGGAGTACATTAACGAGCAGAAAATGTCACTTGGCCCGCAAATCTAAAACAAAATGTAAAAAAAAAAAACATTCCATGCTTTTAACTACGAGGCAAAACTGAGGCAAGTGAAGCAAAGACTACTGACATAGCAACAAAATAATGATAACAGAAAGACTGGGATGAGGTCAGATTTACTGGTGTCCCTTTCATTTCGTGCACCTAGATTCATTCTTCTGGAAAAAAAAAATCTATAATAAAAAATGGAACAGCTTTTTGCAGACAGCTGTGCTGTACAAACTTATGCTTCTTCCCCACCACATAACCCATCTTTGCTCGGTCTTGATGTGCTTAACAAGAACATCATAACCTTCGGTAAAAACCCAACACGAATTTCAGAAAAGAACCATCTGCACTTTACATGGTAAAAATCTGCTTTTCATAAACAACAGATTCGACAACTATACAAGGTAAACCATGGCTTAATATAATTTGATTTTTCTGCACAGATGGTAAATATAGTCCTTTCATAATGAGAACTGATAAAATAAATACGTCGAGTTGTTATGGATCACTAGGATTGCATGAAGAATTCACTGGGCTCCTCTTTTTCAAACTGCTTAGCCTCCTCCTGCATGGATTCCTTAATCTTTAGGATAGCCGCGGATTCGTTATGGTCCTGAAATTTTAAACAGGGTATCAAATATATGCACATGTACAGCTTTTCTTTAGCAACTACAAACCCATTTAGAACCCAGTAGTTTTGTCAAAGCATTAGAGAACCAGAACAGTTGCCAGTAATCATGATCATGTTATGAAAGTGGACCTGATTTGGAAGAATCCAAACAAAAAATGTAACCAGTCAGGCAAGTTAAATAAGTGAAATGCATGCTTGTTACAATAACCCTCGTCACTGGACCACTTGCCAGGAAGTCTTTGTTATTTCAGTTAATCGCTCCGTAATCTACGCGCGGGTGCAGCCAGCTTAGAAATGTCTATGGCAAAAAGCAACGAATGAAAGGGATGGGAAATAGACAGAATGACAGATGGATGATTAAGAGGTGAACCTGGGATGGACCGACTGTGCATGACAAGTTTGAGAGAGCCCTCCAACTGAAATGATATATTTTGAGTTCCATCCCACAGCCTAGATAGTCCCAAAACACGGATGCAAGTAATGGAAAAACTCTGTGAACATCAGTTGGCAAAACAGGAAATTTTGGTAATGATTTCAAGTATGAAAAGAAAAACAAAGGAGCAAATGTTCCTTAGAATCTGGTATACATTTGGACAAAGAGGACAAAAAGCATATGGGGGGGGGGGGGGGGGGAAAGGAACTCAAAGAGGTGAACTTCCAGTTTTTGGATCAACGCTGAACAAACAAGATTGTTCCAGCAAGTAAGTGTTCAATGTCTACTTGGTGAAAAAGAATGAAATGTTCAGCAAGTGCATGCCCAACCTATCTTGGACCCCCGTCACCTTAGCTTGCCAACAAATGAGGTCAACTGTTGCTCCATCTTGTTGCAATGTAGCTTTGTTTACAGGTTTTGAAGTGAAGAAAAAAATTGGTGTTCCGCTAATTCTAAACAGCTTATTCAACAAGTTCCCTTTCATGGCCTTGAAATGTTTAAATACGGCACAAACACAGAGTAGTGGTCAAGACCTCGAGGCCACATCCTGAACAAGCCAGGAACCTCTTGTCAGAATCCACAGGATCACTCGTTCTCTGTGTTGGCTTTTGGTTTGTGGCAGGACTATTTCTGAATAAAGCAGCCTCATCCCCACCCACAAAATGATCCACAGCATAGAAACGCTAAGTAATACATAGGCTGTGGAAAATATAACAAAAATTGTTACTTTAACCACCAGAAAAAAAATGACAGGCACAAAGCACACGCTACTATAAGGGAAAAAAGGAGTAAAAACTGCTGTGCACACTAGATCGGTTAATGCAGGGGTACAAGCAGGCCGCATGCAGTTCTGCTCAATATTCATGTCTACAAATTTCATTGAAGTCATGCTCTAGAACGGTGCCCTTTGATAATTGGAAGGCATAGGAGGGATAAAAAAAATGAAAACCAAAATGCGCCACCGAGTCATGAAGCTGGACACATTTTTTTTCCTCATTGTGCTAAATATGCCGTGTCAGAAAAAAATGAACAAGATGGAGGGACTGGGAGAAAAAAAAAAAGGCAAAAGAGAAATCTGAAAGGGGAAACCACGAGATGCACATTTCCTTAACAGGCAGCTTTATTCACCAAGTTCAACTTTACTTTTCATCTACAAGTTCAAATAGCAATGAGCTCCACAGAGTTGAAAAAAAAAAAAATCAAATTCTCCGAACAAAAGAACATTTCGGCAGGGTTAACTTAGTGTAAATAAGAAGGGGAAGGGGGAGATTCCTTCATTCATCTTTTTTCCCGTTACTCTAGAGAAAGTCGATCCCTCTGCGTAAATCATGGCAGAAGATTACCCTAACAAAAGCAATGAAAAAACCGGGTGGACAAAAATCGGAAACAATTCTCTTTTGAAAAGAACAAAGACCTAAAATCTATAAGTCTGCCATCAGAATGTTAGGTTGTCAAATAACCAAACTACCATGTTACACTGGGGGGTCACAGTTCAGTCACCTGTAATCACTCATTCATCTAATCTGTTCACAACTGTCACACAAGTTTTTCACTCAACAGAAAACTTATATATGTCTGATTGAAATCTATACCCAGAGAAGATAAGGTTCAATTAATGAAAATTCATACACGACTGTCAAAAGTTTAAACAAAGCTATCAGTTTACAATACATAAACTAGTCATTCTTTTTGCGAAATTTTGCGTACATCCCAAAGAACAGCCTGTGTATAACGTTATAAATATACAGCGTGGAGAAAGATTGAGGGTGTGCACGAGACGGGAGCCAAAGGATGAAAGTATGGTTCACTTCATTTTTCTTTCTCAAATCAAATTAAAGAGCTCTCTCTGAAATCAGAGTCCCCCCCTCTCTAGCTCTAAAGCTGTTGCCAAGTTCAGAGCTGCAAGCTAGAACAGTCATAGCACAAGTGAATGTTTCTAAAAATGTTAGGAAAATGTTAAAGGAAAAGTGGACAAACACACACACATTGAAAAAACAAACAAAGAAAAACTACTCATCAAACAAGTAAATAAAGTATGGGAAAATTCCTTTTTCCATAGAGAGTAAAGCTGTAACAGAGGCAATATCCCAGTGCAAGAACTGAAGACACCAAAGCAAAGAACGGTACAGAAATTGTGGTAGAATGGAAATAGCCCAGTCATCATGCAACAATACAGAAGCAAGCTATGGCGGTATGTGCTGTGTGTGGTATATGGTACACACATCTATATGTGTTTCAATTCCCACTGCAAGACGTAACATCTAACAGAACTAAGTCACAAACAAAATAAAAACAAGCCACTTCAATAAGCAAGTACAAGTCTGTTTATAACCAGTAAATGTTTAGAGATTTCTTCACTTGACTGCAATGCCTGATAAACTCAGCTCTATTGTTATCTGACACTAAAGATTTGTAGTTCAGGAAACATAAGCGACAGAACATGTTCAATCAATCTGCAACAATGTGCTTAACTTTTATATTTTTATAAAGCATCGTGATCTTCTACATTAAAGTCAACTTTCTATGTGAAATAGTTTTGAGAGTGAAAGTCAAAATAACTTGGGCACTTTTAATCATACCATTGGCTTTGTCAATAACTGTCATAGAGTATGGCTATTGTGACACACATTATTCTTAGAAACGTACATGTACATTATTCTTAGAAACGTACTTGCTTTTTGACAGTGTTAAGTGATGTCAAAGAAAAATGTTCCAATTCTAAATGATTTCAAAGTTAACCAAAAATAACTACAAGGGAAGTCAAGCTGAGAAAATAGCTGTCGGAACAAAGGGGAAGTAAGCAGGTACAGAAACATAGGAGAACCAAACAAAATGTCGTGTCATCAATACAAAGGGGGGAGACAAGTCTTTAGCATAATCATAGCAAGAAAATGAACGGCCGACGGGCATGAATGGACAGAGGGATGGAAGGAAGTAGATGGATGAGAAAGGGATGTGATACTTCGGACACGGTTTCCTACTCCCAAGACAAGAGCTAGCTCACAGACCAGACTTATGAAACTAGCAGTACTCAACTATCTGATCCAGTGGTCTTCCTTTCTATTTGCTTTTTGCATTGTTTGGGATATTGGCTACAAATGGGAGGGGGTGGTTTACATAATGCTATCTCAATATCTATTTCTAGTCCTGTGCTAAAAAAACCCAATGGCTCAACCAAGCAAAAGTACTGATTAGGCAAAGGAGGGGAGAAGGGAGGGGTTGGACGGGGAGGGGATTTGCAAGGGTGGAGGGTGGGGAAGGAGGTGTAACAAAGTACCTGATAACGCCTCTCAAATGAAATGTGTTAACAATGGGGGAATCTCAAAATAAAACTATTTCTCTTGCTTCATCACATGGTGCACAAACTTGTTTCAAATTTGGAAAAAATAAAGACAGTCATTGACAAGATTCCTGTCCCCATTTATTTTCTGATAACGTAGACTGGAAAATCACTTCTACTTGCAACAGACTTGTAAGTCATAATTCATAACAGTAACATACGTCGCCCACTTCCACACACATAGATGAATTTAAGGGAAAAATACGAACAATCGCTTCAGGCTAGAAACCTTTGATCAAAACATGAACTAATCTCATCCCAAATGAATAAGTTATGGAGAGTCATAGCTGTACACATGATCAAACGTTATAAAACAGAACCAGCAAGTTTCTACACTTTGTACATGTTACGATTATGCTTATTTAGCCAGGGAACATTTGAGCAATCTGTCGAGTTTCATCTAAACTCTAGTGAAACAGCAGAATATTGTTCATGACCAACAATGAGATGACTAGTCGCACTTCTCTCTCACGAGACTCGCGCCAAATCTGGGAATTCTGCTACTTCTCCACGATGCACCTACTGACGACGGATCGCTTTGTTGCCAGGAAACATGGCTACTCTAGAAGAAAATCTTAGCGTCCTTGTTGACGCTGGACACAGGGGACATACAAAGAGATGAAAACGCTTATGGCATAACACAGTACTAGTTCTTCTCAAACTGAACTCAAACTTTGGACAGGTACCGCAACTTGACCGCTATGCACAGATAAATGCTCACATATTGTAGAAGAAATTAGCCCCCTCCACTCTAGTTTTGGAGCACACATTGGGAAAACAAAGAACATTAGAATTCCCATTTATTCTGTTGAGTTGGTGATAGCACTGATCACTCAAGGGGACTTCATAGCTGGCAAAGTGATTAGCTTCCTAAAGTCTACTTTCACAATACTTATCAGAGGAAAAGAACACATAATTAAAGAAATCAAATAAAGTTAGCATGTCAATTATCAATATTTTACAAAATGGAATTAGTGAACTGTCAGTTTCTTTGCAGTTTGTGGCCTTCCGCTCAGCTTTGATGTGATCTTGTCTTAAGGCTTCCTCTCAGCAAGTCGTTGTATTCCACCTAGTGCTCAACTTATGATCCATCATGGAATTTGCAAAAAAAATATGCGAAGATAAATAAAAACTATAACTTTGCATTTCCATTTTGCACGAAAAACTACTTGAGAAAATATCTGAACATATTAGAAAAACATTAAGGGCAGAAAAAGGGTTGGGAAACATAAATTATCGTATCATCTCAATGGAAACAGATGGATTTATTAACAGGAATGATCAGGCAGCCATACCGGCTATACTCTGCCATTGGAAACTGCACCACACTATACATTCAAAATCTCAAACGTTGTTGTCGCTGAGAGAAGTGAACTTTGTTCTCATTACAAGAGCATCCCATTTGATATGTATGAATGGATAACATCCTGAAACTACGTTTCTGTCTAGAAGCCTTCACTATGACAAATAAACTAGGCAGGTGGGGGGTGGGGGGGATGGGCGAGTGATATACTAGAAAAGAAAGGTAACATTTAACGAGTCCTTGCTATCAAAGAAAATTTTTTATTTGCAGTATTAAGTGCAGTCTTGAAATGGATGGTGAAATTTGTTTGTCTCTCAACTCGATGAAATCAACAGATATAGAGGGGCAACATACAAGGAGAATCTGATGAGATTTCATTGAGATCCTATTGTGGAAATGATGAGAGGGGGACAAGGAGAGAGGGGGTATGGGGTCATATGGCTTTTGGGAGGAGACCGCCAGATGAAGTAAAGAGATGAGAGGAAGAGGAAGAAAGGGTATAGATGCCGATGGAGCAAAAGGGGGTTGATTGGTCGGTTGGTTGGTTGGTGCACATCATAGTTGGGTGGCGGGGCTTTGCCTCACATAAGAATCTGACTCACACTGTCCTGATATCCCCCGAGGCCATAGGGGCCCATGTCTGCGGCCCCACTCACACTGCTTACGGGGGGCATGTCTTCCCGCGGTGTCCCCCTCCCATTGGCTGGCGAGTTCTTCATGCCGTCCATGTCACCTTTAGAGAGCCAGGGAAGAAATTAGAGAGAAAACTTAAGCCAGGGTAGTAAGAAAAAAAAATTATAATGCTCTGTGCTTCAACTCAAAAAGAGTATACGTGGGCATCCTGATAAATTTAACTTTAATCCTGAAAGTTTAACTTACTTTTTAAAATCAACTTCATCAGTTGCCCCCTGTACTCCAACCCAGTTCTGACAAGTAAAGTTTACAAAAAACCCCAGACAAACAAACAAGACACTAAGAGGGAGGAAAACATTTTCAGTTTGTACAACAAAATCATCAAGACACCCACTGCATAGACTAAAGCAAGCGTGTGGAATTAATACAGTAGTTTATTTCAGCATATATATATATATATTATGTTAGCTAGGAGCAGGAAGCACTACTGAAGACAAGGAGATGTTACCGTTCATGACAGGCGGCATGTCTCCCGGACCCATGGGGCCCATCGGACCATCTGGACCACCCATAGGGAACTGAGGAAAGAATACACAAGAAATCACACAACACTCAGAGAAAACCCTGAACAGCTAATGCTGAGTCATGTCTCCAACCCTCTCATTGTCCAGTATACTTCCATATAACTTCCTTCACATTAAATAGAACCCCACTTGAAATAATGCATTTTGTTTGTAGATGGCACCCAGACATACCCACGACTATTAAACGCCTTTCCCCATTTTTCCCCAAATGTATTCACAATACATACGGACACATTTTCAATTTGAGTTTAGTTTGACCAAGAAGTTTTATTTCCCAAATAAGGTTACACATATAGGTAAGTTCATTTCTCAAGCTACAAGCTACAAGCATTTTATCTTAACATAGTCATCCAAAGACATTTAGGCCTTTGATGAGAATGTTAACCAGTTTAGAAAATCAGGCCTTACACGAACGTGATTGGCTCAAAAGGAAACAAGACAGACGGAGAAGTCTTTAGGCCTTTGATGAGAATGTTAACTAGTTTACATACAAAATCAGGCTTTACACGAACATGATTGGCTCAAAAGGAAACAAGACAGACGGAGAACCCTTAGGCCTTTGATGAGAATGTTAACTAGTTTACATACAAAATCAGGCTTTACACGAACATGATTGGCTCAAAAGGAAACAAGACAGACGGAGAATCACTCACCCCTGGCATCCCACCCATGCCTGGAGGGCCTTGTTTCATCATGTACATGGGGTCTCCTGACCCGGCAGAATCTGAGGACACATTCACATCAACAAACTATTAGACGCAGTAAACAGACCTTCTTCCAACCTCCTTCAATTGTTGATGAATATGGCGCAAACCTCAAAGCTTCCTTACTTCTTTTTTTCCACCACTCAAAGTTCACATTTGAATCTAAACAAGTTTCTGAAGACTCCCTGTCCAACTAAATTCTGTTTGCTTTACTCGTTACTGGATTGCTTCAGATTTGAATCTTGACAAACCTGTGGTAGGTCAGTGACAAACCTGTGGTAGGTCAGTACCTCATCTAAAACTTCTGCATATTCGTATAAGAAAATATTAAGCAGAAGCATAACAAACGCAGCATGAGGTAACACCTCTTGCAGCCTACTTTTCAGGTGCTTTCCAGGCTCATTAGTAGAAAAACCCTGCTGTACAAATTTGGTACCAGTAATTCACATATCACTACGTGTAGCATAATTTTTATATGGTAAATTCATTAAAAACATAATCAAAGTTAACTTTGCATAATGAGTCATCATTCTATTTACTTGCTCCATTTATTTCACTTTTGCTCTTCACAACATCAATAAACAGAAGTGGAAAAGCAATATTGTGTCAGGAAAAACATACAAGAATGACAAAAAATAATAAAGAGAACAAAATGAACAAACTGATTGAATTGACTTTGTATAAGTACACAGAACTTTAGGTAAAAACATTCTACTGGGGTTCAAAGTGACAACTAATGAGTTACAAGTTAGCATCTCTCACAGCCCCGATAAAGTACAGAGGGTGTCGCATTCAACGAGAAGTCGGCTCCAATGAGGCAATCCTTAATCCCCGATTTTCCTTCTATATCTCTTTGTAAATGTACGTCAGCTCTAACAAGGTTGCAAACAGACCGAAGTCGCTTTCAACGAGGTGGCGATAACCAAATTAAAGCAATTAGCGGCCCCACAAGCGAAGAATTTTTCTCCTTTCTCTCCATCTCAAGCGAAGCACAAGGACCATCCTCGATTCCTAACACATAGTATTGTTAGATCTAGTGTGCCTCCTAATATGGGCCCCAAAGCCAAGAGGATGGACGAGGGTTAGCCTACGGTAGGGATGGGAGGGGGTGGGTGGGAACGCGATGCGGGCTGTGTGAAACTGGATGAACCCTGGATAGGTAGGTCTAGATCGAGACCTTCATTTTTTTTCAATTTTCTTTTCTTCCCTAGATCAGAAAATCCAAGCTCCTGCCTTTACTTTATGTAGATCTAGATCTAAGCCTAGATGTGAGAGGGTATATTTCCACACGAGAAGTATTCCGGAATTTTTAAAATTAAAAATGCAGAAATGACGGTCAGATCACAGCTCTCAAACACACGCACATTGATGCTGTCTGAGATTTTCGTCATCTAGGGGAACAACTGTTTTAATTGCTGGTATTGGTACATCGTGTAATTATAATAACTTGTCTCCTTTCTTTTATTTAGCGTTTAACGAGAGGTCGAATAAAACGAGGACAACAAGCCGGTCCCGGCAACCTCGTTGAAAGCGACACCCACTGTACTACATATGGATTATTGCAAAAAATAAAAAACTATTGCCTTGCAGCCAATCAGAATGCAGCAAATGTCTTTGAAAAATTAGACTGGAAGTAAATCACTATATAAATGAGAAGTTGCCCTCCCTGGTACTAAATTTTTCTTGATTTGATCATTTTCAAAAGGACAAATGAAACTTGAAAGCTTCCTGGTTGGACCAAAAAAAGCATCTTTTCCCTTTTGAGGATAGAAGAGTCAATAGCTACAATTTGTCAAAAACCCCAAATAACAAAAAACCCCAATTTAAATAAGAAATTTTGTGCTTTATTCTCAGTGAGGTTAACATTTGAAAAGCTGCAATAGATACATACTGAACATGATATGATATGATAGTCCCATGCTACACTTGATCATCTTTGACTTGAGAGAAAAGAGACAGGGGTAAAAAAAAAATAACCCCCCCCCCCCCCCCCCCCAAAACGTAGACACAGGCCAATACATGATGTTACAGCACCTTTTTATGCACTTTGGACAAAGCATGACATAACAGACTTGTTACACATAGGAAGAGAAGACAGCAGCACTACCCATACGCTGGTATCTCTCTATGTAAGGCACCTTGAGGCCAAGGAGACCTTTAATGCTTTTCAACAAGTCAAGGTAACTGGCACAAGTTGTACACAAAGAAACCTTAATTTTTCAAAAAGAAAAATATATTAGTGTGAAGTTAAAAAGGGAAGATCATAGGATGCTTTGCACTTTCATTACATCTCGCAACCAAAATGTCAATGTACAAAATGTACCAGATACTGAAACCTATTGGCAGAAACATAATGCATTTACTATCAGCTATTTCCAACCTGAAAAGTTGAAGTAGGACATTTTTTCAATTTCTCAGGAACCTAAATAAAGGAAAAGCCATAATGTTTACAACCAGCAAAACACTTGTTTGAGACAATCTAGAGTCTACTTAATATATGGCACAAGACAGTAATCACTTGAAACGACAAGCAGAGGTCAACGCTGGACAAAAAATTATGGTCACATGATAGGTCAACGACAAATAATACATGAACAGAAAAAAGCAACTAGAGGTTATATATAGCTACCGTGGATAACAGGGCTGTAGGTGGTTGGAGTTCGGCGCATCTCACCTTGAGGACTAGGCATGATTGGGGTGCCAGGGGGCCCGCCGGTGGGAGGGGGGCCCTGAGGCACAAATTCCTGCACACGAAACAGAAGCAAAATCATCAAACTCGGCAACTTCCCCAAATACTATTTGCCCCTACAGTACAAATACTGATGGGCCTGTCTTCAAAATCAAACTCGGCAACTTTCCCAAATACTATTTGCCCCTACATTAGAAATACTAATTGGCAGGTCTTAAAAGTAAAAGTAATTTAAAAAGTCAGCTGGTACAAAAAGCAATTTGAAGACGGGGGAGTGTATTCAATCTCGACAATGTTGTCCAGCCACCATTTAAAAAAACCCAAAATTATCTCCCTTACTTCAGTACCTTTGTTTCCCTCAAAGTTGTCCAAAGTGTATTCTCTCGTTTCATTCCTATTAGGCCCAGTCTTTGTCACATACAAAACGTGTTTTCATCTTGTACACATGAGTCAAGAGCATACACACACAAAAAAGGAACAATGCAGCTGTCACCACCATAAATCAGTTGCTATTTCCCCCCATCCACTCTATTAACCACTGTGATTACTGCTCAAAGGAAAACGGTGAGCTTTTGTTTGCTCTGTTTCACCACTTTTCATGTTGAAAATATGCCATGTTGAGATGTCAGAAAACAGACAATGTGGGTTGCAGGACTTTCTAAAAACCACAAAACATACACATACAGAGGGAAAAAGACCAATATTTGGATGAAAGAAGCCAGATGATAGTGGTTGGAAAGCTGCACAAGAGGAGCATGAAACACAATGGTGGAGATGAAATGAAATGATTGGCAGATTAATAAAACCTGATTTGAACAGAGACCAGAAAGGCATCAGACAAGAAGGGGTGAGTGCAAGTGAGTTGGACAGTGGGTGATACAATGATCAGCGACAGGTCTCCACAAGGTACCTTTAATGATCTTTAATTTGTAATTTTTTTTTTTTTAAAGGCTTACTTACATTATAACTAGCTGGGGATGCTGAATTCATCTGGAAGAGAAAAACCGAAAACTCATCGAGTTTGAGACATGTTGGAGGGATGTACAGGGATGTACCGACAACAGACGTTAGGGAAGTGAATCAGACACGAGGTGGGGAGGGAACAGCAAAAAACAGGGAAGGAACAACAATATCTCCAAGGACAGTCACAAGATTCACAACTGACTGCCAAACCAGATATATCATATTTATATATATAGAGATATATATATAGATAGACATACATATATATTTATATAGGAGATGAATGGCGTTACAATCCAGATTGGTTGAAAACGAAACACATAAAACAACCAAAATACATCTATTTTACAGAAAAATCACCTTCAAATACATTTGCAATTTTGAAATATAAAACCCTTTTAAAAGAATGTTTCCCATTCATGTAAAAACGAACAAACATACAACCACCTCTCCTATATTGTCCAGTCCAGATCTTAAAAAAACAATGAACATAAATCATTCAATTTCAGAAAAAAACAACCCCAAAACCCAAAAAGGTGACCATGTTGAAAATGTATATAAATTCACATATTTAAACAGAGAGCAAATTACAGATGACTTTGTCAATTTGTCAACACCCTCCTCAACATTTGCTTTTCGTCTCCTTTCCTCCCCAATCCCTCATCCCCTCCCAAACTGCAATTTTCACAGAATAAAAACAAGCTCATTCTTTTAACAAAGATTTTTGATCAGTCAATCCCCCCCTGCCCCACCCCTCACCACACAAACTTGTACAACAAAAGGTCAACTCACAGCTGATGAGGTCGGAGGCCATCTGTTTTGTGGTCCTGGCCCACCAGGCCTGGAAAAAGAGAGGAGAACAGTCAGAAGAACAGAAACATACAGCCCCACTAGCTCCCATGGAGATATTGTCTCTAGAATAAGAATCTAACGCAGTAAACGTGGGAAAACACTCCTTTAAGGTGTCAAAACATTCCTGCACAGATAATACCAAGTGTTAGTTTATATTTACTTACACTAACAGACAAGTCTTTTGGAACAAAGAATAAGCTCCCCAGTTTCTTTTGTTGAGAGTCTTCAGCTTGGTTTTCCCGAGAGAAAACAAAACAAATTGTTGCGGTTCTCATTTAATTTATTATTATTATCACTACTCTAAAAAACAGAATTACTATTATTATGATGATGATTATCATACTCACTGACACACAGATTTGGGCAAGACAGATTCACTCACACTAATGGGAATTACAAATGCACAGATGGGAAGGACATTATTACCCGCTTTTCCCAAAAGAAGATCAAAGAAAACGGTTTGAAATATGTAAAGAGAAAAAGACTTTAGCGCTCACATTGATAATGGAGGCATGCCTCCCGGCCCAGGACCCGGTCCCATACTTGTGTTTGGGGGCGGTCCTCTCACGCCGTAGTTCTGTAGGGAATCATACATCTGGAGGAACAGAGAAATACAGTCAACAGTTTGTTTGAAGGAAAATGAAACAAATGTACAGGACAGAAACAAGAGAAGAGACAGACACTCGGACTCTCCCTCCACTCGCCTGTTGGGAGCAACACAACATCCAGAGGCTAAAATTTCTGCAAAATGAATCTGAAAATCCACAAAACAATAATTATGTGTGTGTGTGTGTATGTGTGTGTGTGTGTGTATGTGTGTGTGTGTGTGTGTGTGTGTGTGTGTGTGTGTGTGTGTGAGAGAGAGTGTGTTTATTGAAATGACCTGGAAAAATAAAGTATGAGGTAAGTTACAGGCCGCTTACATCTTTTTCATGAGCATTGACTACATTATGAAAGAGCTGGAACTTGAAACAGAAGCACAACCATTCTCCTTGCATATACTGAATGGTCTGTATATGAGTGTATTTGATGGGAAACAAGTATTTGTGCTTTATTTAAAAATCTGAAATCTGTGGAGTAGTTCTTCCAACTGTCTCAAAGTTAAAACCAAAATTGGGCTGACATTATCCATTAGTGGGAGCAATTTCCAATATTTGTGTTAAGCGCAATTAAAAAGGGTTAAAATTTAACAGTGGAAATTAAATTTTCACAGCAATTTTTTTCCTAGCAATTCAAGATTTGCATTTTGCTGCATAAAAACCCTGATAATGCATTGGTTTCACAAATGGTGAATTCCTTGACAAAACCATTGTACTTTAAGAGTACAAGGTCTCCCAAATAGGACTAGGCAGATAACTCGATGGGAATCACAATGTATGAGGTAACCCTTACACAAACAGCCAGGAGACTGTAGCCTGATACATTATCAATGGGTTTCTTTTTTTTCCTTCATCACATCCGCACTTCATTCAACGTACCAGCTGTTACATTGGCCATGAGACCAGTCAACACAAAGACTTTTAGCTTCAATATACTAAATCCTTAAGGGATATCTTATTACCAATACAGAAAGAATGAGAAAATGAACGGTGGAAAGAGTGAAAACATAAATATAAATAAATCATTGTTGACATGACCGATAAGTTGAATAAATAAACACCAGACATCATCACAATGACAACCGATAAGCTGAAAAAATAAATATGAACCACCATCCATTTATAACAACCAGTAAGCTGAATCAATAAATATGAATCATCATAACTATGGAAATGGGCAAGATGAATAAATAAACATGAATCATCAAGATATAAAAACCAGTACCCAGTATGCTGAATAAATAATTATAAATCATCATTAGGCTCTACTATTCCACTGATAAAATCATTCAATGAATATGAATCATCCTAAATATAACAACCAGTAAGCTGAATAAATAAGTATGAATCATCATTCTCATCGTTCATGGGAAACAGGTAAGACAAACAAATATACAGGAATCATCATTTATAAGAAAACTGGCAAGACAAATTTAAAAAATATGAATCGTCATTTATATATCATTTATATGAAAACTAGTAAGAGGAATGAACAAATATGAATCATTATTTATAAGAAAACTGGTAAGATGAATAAACAAAATATGAATAATTATTTATAAGAAAACTGGTAAGATGAATAAACAAAATATGAATAATTATTTATAAGAAAACTGGTAAGATGAATAAACAAAATATGAATCATTATTTATAAGAAAACTGGTAAGATGAATAAACAAAATATGAATCATTATTTATAAGAAAACTGGTAAGGTGAATAAACAAAATATGAATCATTATTTATAAGAAAACTGGTAAGATGAATAAACAAAATATGAATCATTATTTATAAGAAAACTGGTAAGATGAATAAACAAAATAGGAATCATTATTTATAAGAAAACTGGTACGATGAATAAACAAAATATGAATCATTATTTATAAGAAAACTGGTAAGATGAATAAACAAAATAGGAATCATTATTTATAAGAAAACTGGTAAGATGAATAAACAAAATAGGAATCATCACTTATGAAAACTGGTGCAAAAAATAAACAAATATGAATCATCGATCTTTATGACAACCGTGAGCTCCGATATAATATAATAATACACAAGTACGTATATATCAATGCCCCTTTTAGCAAAATGAGTGGTGTACTCACAGGGTTCATTGGTCCTGGCATCCTCCCTCCAGGGTGATTCATTCTTGGCATGGGGCCCATTCCTGGATGACCTACAAAGACAGAAAGAAACGAAAAAAAACTGAACATCAGATTTGTAGTTTGACAAAATTCTGAGAAAATGAAAACTTGCCTGAGCCTATTCATTCAGGCCGGCAAAGGGATGGTCATTGTTTTGTAATTTGTAACTGCTTTGTTTTGTTTCAGTAAGCGTTTTACAACACAATAAGTTCACAGAAGTGCGAAGGTTAGAGCTGCTACAAGAGAGTAACAAACACACTTATAAAAGAAAGAAGAGAGACAAGGACCAGAGACGTTGGAGACTTGAGAAAAAAAGAGCAAACCACACCACAACACTCGCCAACCACCCATTTTTGTAACTGCTTGCACAAACATTGAGACTTGGACTGCAGCTTTATCAAGTACTTGTGTTTCTGTGTGTGTGTGTGTGAGTGTTTGAGTGTGTGTGTGTGAGGATGTGTGTGAGTGTGAGGATGTGTGTGTGTGTGTGTGTGTGTGTGTGTGTGTGTGTGTGTGTGTGTGCGTGTGAGGATGTGTGTGTGTGTGTGTGAGTGTGTGTGTGTGAGGATGTGTGTGTGGGTGTGTGTGTGTGCGTGTGAGGATGTGTGTGTGTGTGTGTATTTGGTTGTATTAGAATGACAGTGCCAGTCTTTTAGCACTACTTTTAGTGGTGGAAAAATCCAGGACATGAAACCCGAAATGCTGAGAAAAAAACAGAAATAGAAGGACAAAAAACACACAAAATCTTGCAAAGCAATCCCATAAGTTTATGGAAACAATGCTGAGGGAAGGGGATTCTAGAGGAAAACCCTAAACATGCTTTGAAAAACTAAAAAAGAGAGAGGAGACATGTATCAACATATCATGAAAGGGTAGATAAGTTCAGATATCGGAGGAATGCACCTTCAAGCAAAAAGGAGAGAGAGAGATAGAGAGAGAGAGAGAGAGAGAGAGAGAGAGAGAGAGAGAGAGAGAGAGAGAGCAATGTTTTCTTCAATACAAATAGCCTATTTTTTTCCTCATTCCTCAAGATCATGTCTTATATTCAACTCCTTTAAGTATCTCCCTACTATTTATTCCGGACTGGAAGCCTGAGCAAGAAGGCTGGTTTTGCCATTACGTTGAGTGAAAAGATTAGATACGCTCTTGAGTGAAAACCCATAAATCGTTCGCTTCAAGCGCCCGAGGGATAATGAAGCGTTTGTGGCTCATTCAGCCTCTGACATTTCTCCCGCATTCAGTCATACAGCGAGAGCTAAGCGCATCAAGAAGATAGCTTTAGAAGCGTGTGTAACTGTGAAAATCGGGAAGAAAAGCTCCCGGGTGAAGGGAGTGAAGAGCAGGAAAAGACATCGCGGGCTTGCACACAGCGCCTCGTGCGAAGGCTCGGCCTGCTGCCGCACGGGACAAGAGCCAGTATTCCAAGTTTTGCCTCCCTTCGTCCAGTCGGTCTCCCGAATTAAGGGAAAACACTGTCGGTGGCAACAACAACACCTATGTCGTCTGCTGGACTGTCGTACTTTTCAAAACTACAGCCCAACAACAGTGGATCATAATCATAAGTTGTAAACAATGTTGTCGAATCAGACCACCACCAGACGAATGGAATACGTTCGGCTGACGACGGCACACACGTAGTTTATTCTATCTGCTCCAGGGGAAACTTTTTCTTCTTATTTTTTTCTTTCAAATCGAAACAGAAAGAATATTCTGCATGCGCTAATATTGCACTGTGCGGTATCGACTCACATTCTTATTACCATTGACTCGGGTGCCACAAACAAGCTGACCAAACTCGTACAACTGACTGGATCTAATAATCTAATAGATATAGCATTAGAATAATAACAGATAATCTAGATCTACATATCTAGATCTAGATCCAAAGTGAACATTTTCGCTCGTGTTAAAATGAATACCTAATCCTGCAGTAGCAAGCAATGGGTGGTCTAACCTGCAAACCCAGATCAAACAAAACAATACCGATGATACAAGCACGGACTAAATAAATAAACACTTCTCTTTGTATGAACCAGAGAGACTACGTCATCGTTCAGACTTCAGACATATCAGAGCAGGGGTAAAAGTAGCAATTACAGCGGTTGGCAATCCGGAGGATGACGGGAGATTCTGATGGTGAAGGTACAGGGAGAAAGAGACACCTGTTCACGGCCACTGAGAGAGAGAGGAACGTGATTGCTGTGGCAGTAGAAGGTAGGTGGTGCTCGCAGTACTGTACTGCTTGATAGATAGATCTACTTATCTGGTGTGTGTGTGTGTGTGTGTATGTGTGTGTGTGAGAGAGAGAGAGAGAGAGAGAGAGAGAGAGAGAGAGAGAGAGAGAGAGGGGGGGGAGGGAGAGAATATGTACTTTTATGCAATGGCTTTTAGGTGAACATCCAGCAAATTATGGAGACTTACTGAAAGTACATTTAATGGATGGACACTTGATCCGCCTGTCTGTCCACTCGTGTATAATAATGTGTTCAGAGGAGTTCATGAATAGACAGAGACAGAGTGGTGAAAAGAGAAAAGATGACAAGGGACAAAAAAGGACGGGTTTAATAGACGGAACAAACAAAGACAGGGATGCGTCTGACAGATAACAGAGAATCTTTACTCTAACGATGTATTCTAAGTAACTAATGTTCTCCTTGCGATATTATAAATACGACAGAGACAACTATGCGGGGGAAAAAAACAGTCTTTCATCTGTTGGCTGTATAAGGTTTCAGGAGCGGTAAATCTGTTAGGATCACATGAAACAACTTGATGAGAGCTTCAACGAAGAGGAAAATTCTCCTGAGTGAAGGGCACACGACCGTAATCCCCCAATCGATAGACTTTCTGTCAGATCTAAGACATGACAGCACTTCTCTCTCTCTCTCTCTCTCTCCCTCCCTCCCTCCCTCCCTGCTGCCCTCCCATTGTTTCTCATCACGAATGCAGCAAGACTTCTTTCTCTCAACACCCTAGACTTCTTTCTCCCCATACCCTTTTCGTTGTTTTTCCTGTGGTTTTTTTCCATTGTTCAGAGCAATGTTTATTAATTAAAAAAGAAAGACCCCCCCCT